ACTGCTCACGCTAAACAACAAATAAAAAAATAAGTTTGCATGAATTGAAACAATGAAGCGGACTTGAGCCAGAAGATTCGGTATTGCTTTCACGATCTCTATCTAGCGATAGGCTTCATCACCTTATCGATTTACCCCCAGCATTGTCCAACAATCGATTTAAGCGCCGATGATTAACTACGCCTACTATTTGCAATGTGAAACTGTTTACTTAAAGTAGGAGACAAAAAAAAAATGATAGAGAAACGTAAGGTAATCAAGGCATGAAAAAATAAAACAACAAAATAGAGGATTTTAAAATGTAAACAGTGGCCGAATGCTAAATGGTATAGATTAAATGACGTGTGTAATGTCATGGATTAAATGACGAGTGTAATGTCATTGTTAAATGACGAATGTAGTGTCATGGTTTAAATGACAAATGTAATGCCATGGTTTAAATGGCGAGTGAAATGTCATGTTTTAAATGACAAGTGTAATGTCATGGTTTAAATGACGAGTGATATGTCATTGTTTAAATGACGAATGTTGTGTCATGGTTTAAATGACAAGTGTAATGTCATGGTTTAAATGACGAGTGTAATGTCATAGCTTAAATGACGAGTGTAATGTCATGGTTTAAATGACGAGTGAAATGTCATGAGTTTAATGAAAATTAAAATGGCATGGATTAGAGATTGAAAAATCATGGATTAAATGAATGAGATGTCGTGACTTAAATAATTTAAAATGTCACGGTTTAGAAAAAGTGTCATGCTAACAGGATGGTTGAAATGTCATGGTTTTTACATCATGAAAAAATGATCAAAACGTCATGGTTTACGTGATGATTGAAATGTCATGGTTTACATGATGATTGAAATGTCATGGTTTAAAATGATTGAAATGTCATGGTTTTCATGATGATTGAAATGTCATGGTTTAAAATGATTGAAATGCCATGGTTTAAAATGATGATTGAAATGTCATGGTTTAAAATGATGATTGAAATGTCATGGTTTAAAATAATGATTGAAATGTCATGGTTTAAAATGATGATTGAAATTTCATGGTTTAAAATGATGATTGAAATGCCATGGTTTAAAATGATGATTGAAATGTCATGGTTTAAAATGATGCTTGAAATGTCATGGTTTAAAATGATGATTGAAATGTCATGGTTTAAAATGATTGAAATACGGCATACATGATGATTGAAACGCTGAAGCGTGGGTACACGTCGGCTATCACAGGTGTTATCGATCAGCCTGATCATTAATTTAAACGTGAAAACTCAAAGTACAATTGATCCACCAAGACAGCTGGAAAACGAGGTGAAACGGTCGGAACATTACGACATCCTAGTGACGTCATTACACCGTCGTCAGACGATATATTAAAGGGAAGGGAAAAAAAAACAACAACACAGAAGCAGACAAAAGCGGGGGAGGGCAGACCCTTAGGGCGTATTCATCACTTCCTAATTCTCTTTTCTTTTTTATTCTCTTTTTCTCTTGCAAATGTTAACTACAACCCAGTTTTACTCAATTTTCAACCGGCCAACATTGCACAAGAAAGTGGCTTTTACAGCTGAATTAAAAAATGCACAAGGACACAATATATTGATATAATAAAATGTATAGTAAAAATGCGATATAAAAAAATGTTTTAGAATGCATTAATTAAAATTAAAACCTGTTGCTGCCCGCAAGGGTCTAGTATTTACCTACACGAACAGCTGTTTCATTGTTACAGTTACAAGCGTGTATGTTGAGACTGTATTCAAACAATGGAGTGGCTCCGGGGGAAAGATAGAATGCTTAGCGTTTCACGAGTACTAGGAAGGTGACGGAATGGGGGAGACACCACGGGTTAAAATAGTGACTGTCTGTGGCAACATGAAGGTAGCCATATTACGACATTTCGTGTATCATTTCCACAATCATGTGGCGTATTTAAAGGCCCAAAACTATTCTTGAAAATACATTTCTGGGACTATAAAGCAATCCTTGACAGATCATGAAAAATAAGTGAGTTATGCACTAGCTGACAAATCTCCAAAACAATAAAAGATTTCACAGATTTGACAAATCTTTAAACACAAGATAGACTTCAACGCTCACATAAATCTCTAAAACTATACAATTTTTTTGAAAATAAAGTGACAAATTTCTAACAAAAAAAGTCAGACTTCAACGCTTGGATAAATCTCTAAAACAAGTCACTCACAGAAGTGACTAATCTCTCAAACTAGTAAAACAGTTCAAAATCTAACAGCTTTTGACTAAACTCTAAAACAATCCATAGGCACGACTTCAGCAGTCTCTGATCAATGTCTGAAACTCTGTATTCAAACAAACCTACGCCGCATTAATTGGCTAGGTAGACTTCATCACCTCGAAAATACCGTAGGTGGTGAGGTGGGGGGGGGGGGGGGGAATTATGCTTTAATAACTCCATATAGACGGCACCATCTGACATAACGATGCCTAGGCCCGGCTATTATTACCTGGAGGTGTTTACCTTGTTACGCAATGCTTAACTCAGTCGTGTTTTTAAAAAAATAGGTCATCCGAAAAGCTGTTTTAGACGATAAAATAAACAGGGCTATGGTCGGTTGGTTACTTACATGTCTAAATATATATTTTCTTCAAGAGAGAAGTGGGTATATTTTAAGGGAACCAAAAGTATGTTTTGTAAATATGCCCGATGATGAAACACATGTGTCAGACTTGAAGTGTAGATATATGTGTGGTAGATATTTAAACTATATAGGCTACAATAGTACAAACAAAGCTGTAAATATTTGGGCACTACATTATTACTGATGGGACGACGTGGTCGATTGGTAGATCATACGACCCGAAAGTCTCAAGTTCGAATCCGGGTTCATCAAGTCTGTAAACGTCATAGAGTCCACCCAGCTCTGATGGGTGCCTAACTCATGTTAGGGAAAGTAAAGACGGTTGGGCATAGGGTGGCCACACTATCCCTTCATATAGATAAAGGTGAACTCTACTTCACTTGCCCCATTGACCGTAAGGATTGAAGAGAACGTTATATTGTTATTAATGATTAGCTGTATATAAGTATTGGTCTAGCTTTAAATAACAAAAGCGATTCAGTAACGTCACAGAGTTATGATTAAGAAAAGGGCTAGGGTTAGTGGCATTTATGGTTAGGCTATGGTTAGTGTCAAGAGTTAGGGCTTCGCTATACGGAATATAAACTTAACGAATAATATGGTTAAGGCTAACCATAATGCACCAGGCGTTAGCAGTGTAAAGTCCGGGACAAAGCGTACATAGCGAACAGTTGTTTACTTAAAGCTTGTCACAGTACAACATGCCCCCCTCCCCCACCAACACACACACACACACTGGCCAGCTGTTGGGAGTGGGTTAGTCATAGTGTGCACGAACATATCGAAACTAATCTCATGAGTCTATTTCAGCTCAGTTAAGTAAACGGCACATAAGTACATACAGAATCGTCCAATAAACCTTGTTAACGAACATTCATAAACATCTACTTCAAGACACAGAATAAACGTTAAAGAAACTTAAAGAAATAACTAAGTAATATACACAAACATTAGTGGATAATGGTTAAACACATCACATCACAACACTTTAATAAATTGTTATTATACATGTATGTATAATTTAATGCAATCACAGATTCGGTATAAATTGTTTATGTTTAATATAAAAGTTACTAAAACCGATAAGTAAATTTAAAAATCCGTTACTACTATACCCTTATTCACCCCAACCCCTAAATATTGCATCATATCTTGATAAAGTCAACCCCTAAAAGGTCCAAGTTCATCACCAACGTACAACGCATAGTGTTTTTCAGTGGTTTTTTTTTTATTATTACTCTATCAGACCAGACAATCGATTTCCACATCTCTATGAAAACAAACAATACCGAGGTATGGTGAAATTAGCGCCTCGTTAAGTATTTCATCACTGATACTTCGCTGTTGACTTTTACAATAATTGCCCTATTCTTGTTTTTTTTTTCTCTCTACTAAGTTGGGGAAGTCTTCATTAACACGTTTACGGCCTGATCGAAAACTAGGTCACAACGGCGCACTTTTCCAAAGTCAACATTGAGCTAAACTAGAATTTGTCATGTAAACAGATTAAAACGGCGGTTTAAAAATAAACAAGATCATAAAACGTCTATTTAAACGTTAATTAAATAAATAATGGTTTCAAAATGGGTGGTGTGTACGTGACAGCAGTATAAAAATCAAGCAGGTTAAAGGTCATTGAAGGATGACTCACTTGTGTTTGTGTTGTAAGGGAAGTGACCTGACACGCGAGGTAACAATAATAATAAAAGTAATTAACAACAGGCACTGCACCGTTCTGCGATACCACACTGCGCCGTTCTGATTTCACATTGCGCCGTTCTGAGATATTACACTGCACCGTTCTGCGATATCACACTGAACAGATCGGAGATATTACACTGCAACGCTCTGATATATCACACAGCACAGTACTGATTTCGCACTGCGCCGTTCTGAGATATTACATCATTCTCATATACCGTTCTGAGATAATACACCGCACCGTCCTGATATACCAAACAGCACCGTTTTGATTACACGCTGCCTCGTTCTGAGATATTACACTGCACCTTGTTGGAATACCACACTGCACCGTTCTTAGATATTAAGATATTCACTGTTCTCATATACAACACTGCTCAACTCTAAGATACAACACTGAAGTATAAACACCATTCAACATATAGTAAAATGTATAATCGGTACCACGTCAATTTCTGATAACAAATTACCTGGTATTAGGACTACGTTGTCATTGTGCATATATGAAACTGTATCAATCATTTTCGTAGCTGCAAATCTATTCAGAACTTAGGATATTGTCTTTATTTTTCAAGTTGTTGTAGTCTTTGACAGAGATGCACTGTCATCCACTAGGTGTAATTACAGGGGTTATAAACTTGTCTAATATTTGGAGATGGTAATGCTGAGGACTTACCATGTAAGCTAAGTTTCCACTTTGTCGCGTACAGAGCCACGTAGAGGACTAATCTTCAAGGCCATCAGGTAAAACAATCATATTGTTCAGCAATCACAAGCACTCATACGTGATAACAGGGTAGACGAATTTCACGACTCGTTGTCCGCTTGACTGTGGAAGAAAGTAACTAAGTGTAGTTAGATAAAGTAGCAACCACGGAACTAATTTTTTTTTTAATCGGAAGATCATTTACATTTCCAGGCAATTAATTTTTAATTATGTCCCCAGCGGTAAAGCAACAACCCTAGCAATAAAAAAAAATTGATCAGACACGGGATCAATGGCATTATATCGATTACGAATCTCCCATGGTGCGTAATCACAATGGTTTGTGGGAGTGAGTGGACGGGGTGCAAAAAAAGCAACTATTGTTTGCATTTTTACAACAGGATACGGCAGGCTAGCATAAAGTAGGTTAGTTACCTTCAGCCTTCTTCATTTTTTTTTTATTTTTTTTTTTTTTATAATTTGATGAGGACATAAGCACGGAGATTACAGGGGACATTAACTAGACCAAGACATAGTTGTATACGCTATACATAACGACTGGGGATTTTACAGGATTACAGGATAAATAAATAAAAATATCCAACGCAAGACTCAATATGGGCAAGTTGTAGAGATGGTAGAAATTAATAAACAAAATGGATTTTGAGGGAGAGGTCTACTAGCTGGCATCAAAATGTTAAGATCTGGCCAATATCATGCAGAGCCTAAAGAAAGATTTCAGTGTAATGCAAAGTACATATGAGAAGAGAATAAGTCGGAAGTCATAGCGAATGACTTCAAACACACAAGTTCTGAGTTTGATACCCGACCGGATAAGGCTGTGTACGGCAACCCACGTAAGACAGGAAAAACTCCAAAACCAAACAGCAGCTGCCTTGCTATGGAAGCTAACCCAGATGGAACCGCAAGCAGAAGTCAACGGACCATAAATTGCGCATTATATCTTGACACGTATTATTTAATTATGTTGGGGAAAAACACCCCCTAATAATAATTATGAACGAGGAAGAAAATAAAAATGTATAAGATAACCTGGCTTCACTTAGATAGAAAAGACAGCCCCCGTTCCCCATTTTTTTTTATAAATGTTAGTCCCCTGATAATGTCTTGATGCTAATAGAAAAAAAAATCTACATATAAATCCCCATAGTTTATGCCGCCCATACTCTAAGTAACACGACTCTAAGACTCGAGGGTAGAAGGTCTTTTTTTAATTATGTATAGGGAAACTTGATGCAACTGTAACACTATCTACACCTGTAGCGATACGGCGCACGGATTTTTTTCCCCCGCTGTTTACCTGAACACACCTGCACAACAGTGTCACGCTGCCTCGGTTGCGGAGAGGTGCCAAGTTTAATGCCCTCCCACTGCCGCCCTCTACCACCCGCTACCGGGACATTATAACCCGGGCTGTAGTAAAGGGGAGAAAAAAACCGTGTCTCCCCCGCCTGCCTCCTACACCAAGTGTCATCGGCCCAGTCACACGGCAAGGTACATTCAGTTTTGGCACAGCGAGATATGGCGCGCCTGTACTGCAGCGGAACTTACAAGGACATTGTTCCACCAACAGCTGTTCGAGGAGAGACACTCAGGGGCGTAGCTACAATAGGGTCATCCCACCCGGGTGTATTTTTAAATAGAATTCAATAACTATTTTTTAAAAGCAGACAAAATCCTGCGTACAATACGCCCACATCAACACTTACAAAACATATATCCGGAGTCTAAATCTAGAACCACATCTAGATTCTGTGGGTTAGTGTAAGCTACGCCGCTGGCTCTGCTTTTATAAGTGTCTGGTGTAAAGGAAAACTAAAACCGCAACACGCTTCGATAAGCTCCCAGCTAGGCCAAGAGCTGTGTCATTGGAGAAGGGTGTCCTTGGCAAAACGCGCCAAAATAATAAAAACATTTTTAAAGGGTCGGTTTAGATGCTTTCGATAATGATTTTATTTAAATTTTGATCCAATGCGCACACTACCTTACTGTGGATTTTAGTGAGCTAGATCTAAATACTTTTGTAAGTGTTCGGCTTTTAACTAATACATGTGGGAACAACTGTTAAAGGGGGGGGGGGGAATGACTTTTCATACTTACTTAAGGGAGAGAAGATAACTGCATTGACTACCGTACTACATCAATTATCAAACAGCAAATAGTTAAACATAAAAGATACACTGTAGCACAGTAGGCCAAGTACTAAAAACTCAAAAAGCGGGGTATGTGGATATTGTTTACGATTAAGTGTGTTTCTATTCATAATTTTTTTTTTTTTAAATGAGTACAAAAGATATGGCTGGCGATGCGTTTGTTTGAGCTCTCAGTCCAAAAACCGTTGGCCAAGGAATAACAGAAACCTTGTCTACAACACCACGCACACAATAATCCATTTTTAAACGCTACTTTAATATTATTCATTATGAATAAAACACACCAAAAATGTGTTATGCTGTTAATTATTACTAACCTATATTACGAACCTTTATTACTAACATATAATTTTAACCTATATTACTAACCTATATTACTAACCTACATAACCCAGATTCAAGTGTCACTATTAGAATATAGGTGTGTAAAAAAGACACAAAAATGTACTTTAGCAGACCTATATGGGATACAAAGAGAAAAACAAGCAGTACAAGGACTAGCGACTAGATAGAAGAAACGAAATCAACGAGAAAGGGGTACGTTGAGATGACAGCGATAGGCGTCAAGACATTTATAGTAAGCCGAGTTTAAAACGGGTTTGACACACACATCAAAGTACATGGGATGCACTTTTAGTTATTTCAAACGTCAGACGCACTCTTAAACCCTCGGCTCGTGAGATCACAAACCCCTGAAATATCCCAGGTGGATAGCGGCGTACCTAGAGAAATATGAGATCAAGGCTACGGGGATGCGGGGGCTTAGTTAACACTGATTTTAGATTGTGTTGATGAGTTGATTTCCTTTATTTCGCAATCGTGTGAAAGTAAAACAAGTCCATTTTTGCGATGCATCAGCAGCGTTGACGTGGTATGGTCAACTTTAAATCAATTGTTTACAGGACATCAGGTAGTATTTCGTATGTTTAGATCCCAAGTCAAAACAATCATGACAATTCTACAAATAATATCACACAATGCCAGATACTGTTTTACGTAGAGACCAAACTCAAGTAATAATCAGTACTGAAATTAATATTACAACAATGAAATGTAACTCATAATAAGCTGGATTTTAAAAAGAAATCCATCAATTAAGTGAAAACGTTGGCTGTTAATACAATAAGAGTGACCTCCACACAAGAGGCACATCTTTTTTAAAGTTTCAAATTAAAGAATACGTAGGCACAGAAGCCCCCCCCCCCCCCCCTTTTTTTTTCGCCGGGGGGAAAAAAAAGCCAATTGCTATTCACTGACGTGGTAAGTAAATCGGGATAATTTCTAGCTGGGGGCAGGGTGCAATAATAAATTAAGTTCGAGGGTTGAAGGGCAAACACATGCATCACATGCTTGGCGCTGAACTCGGGTTACGAACGTGGGAATAACGTACGCAGGTTATCAAGTGCTTAACGCGAAAAATCTGATTACGAACGAGGGATATTAGATAAGAAGATTATCACTAGCTCGGTCTAAAAACGTGGCACATTCTCTACGTCGGTTATAATAAAACATCTCACTATCTCAACATCTATACTTAAGTATATAAGATAAAATACATGAACAAAATACTGATAGGTTGGTGTAAGCCGACACTATAAGTCAGTACAGTCAGTCTACACAACATGCAATCAACACCCGTCGTAAAACAGTATTAAAGTCACCATAAAACAACAGCAGATGACTTTATGTTAAGTCACTTCCTGGTTCCCTGCTCCAAAGAATAAATTAACATCACTGTTATCCGCGGACGATACAAATGGTCCCATTGCGGAGGCGGACTGTTTATGTATGTAAAGATATGTATGGGCCCAGCAACGCACGCAAGCTTGATTTGTCTTGTGGAGATACAGATTAATTAATATCGGTTACAGCGTGGCTTAAGTGCAACTTATAAGCGCAGACACAGAAATACTGGATAAGTTATTTTGGGTTGCTTTCCTGATAATTTTACAATATAATTTTTACAAAATGTATTTACAATAATCACTCAAGTACAAATGTTGTTCTTCTTCGTTCTTTCTTGTAAAATTGGACGGGATTTAATCCAACATAATTAAGTATGGCCCGTTGACTCCAATATCAGTCTGCTTTTAAAACAACAAGTTAGCAGTTGACTTTGATACTTTCATGCCTCGATGGAGTATGCTTACCCCATACTCGGGGTTCGAACCCGTGACTTCCCGGTTGAGCAGTAATGAGCTTTACTGACACACGAACACGCCGCCAATGTTAATAAATAAGAAAGTGTGCTAGCGTTCACAAAATTGTTCAAACTTAAAAATAATATAAATGTATGTGTATGTGTCTGTATGTGTGAGTGTGGGGGAGGGGGGGGGGGGAGCGCACAAGATAAGTACAAAGTGCGGAGTACGAAACATGAGATCTTAACGTATCAAAAGTTTTCGGAAACTCGTCTTTAACTCTTAAATGCCATTAACTATTACTCGGCAATGGTTAAAGTGACGTAATTATATTTACGCTGCGACAAAAGAGTAGGATAAATGAGTACATGCATGAGTACATATTTCGTACAAGAACAAAAGAAATCGCTCGTCAAGTGCTATAATAAAGCCATCTACGATTATATTGCGAGAATGCTGAGCAAGATTGGTAACCAATATTGTATTTCGGCATGCCGGACGTTCGCGGTTAAGACACTTGCCAGCAGGCCCTTTTTATTCATGGGAGGGGGGGGGGGGTGGGGCGCAGCCCACACTATTCCATTTATAATCATATGCCGAGATCAAAGAAGCACACGAAGCTAGAGCTAAGTCACTTGTACGAGTACTTATATACTAACAGCAGAAAGCTATTTTCCTGCTAACCCCGTATATGAGAAAAAATTACATTCCGTTAATAGATGATTAACTCCCACATAGCCATATCTTAAGGGGAGTCGATCCGTCAATTTTTTTTTTCCAAATGAGAAAAACAAACCACATCTAGAAA